CAATCAACCTGAAGATCTAAACAACAGACCGGTCGCTCAACGCAACATTTGAGCATGCAAGAAGGGACAGGAAAGGAGAAAGAGGAAAGATGAAGAAAAAGAAGGGAAGATAGGAAGAGAGCAAGGAAGGAAAAATAAGGTAAGAGGGGAAGGAAGAAGAAAGTAGAAGGAAGGAAGGAGATTGTGATGAGAGTGAGGGAGTGTCTGAGGGAAGTCCTGGCACTTGGCCACCATAGGTGCCCCCGACGTGTGTGACATTGAGCTGGCCACACCCACCCTGGTCATGCCCACCCCGGCCCCCAAAGGTCAAACACAACCCTGATGTGGCCCTCAATGAAATAGAGTTTCACACCCCTGTATTAAGCTGACGCTGGTGCAACCCTGCAAAAGACCGATGCTGCCAAACATAAGCTTCCCAAGAAGCAAGAGAAGCTTCCACCTTAAAGTTTGGGACATGGAGGCTGGAGGCTGAATTTCTGATCTGTGGGCTTTCTCCTCCCTGCTTCCTCACTTGGGCTTCCACTGTGCTTCTTGGGAGGGATCTGGCTTATCTCCTCCGCCAAGGTCATCTTCTTTTACTCTCTCCGCAGCTTCCTGCCCACGGCTGCAAGCACTTACCCCAGTGATGCTCCCTTCTCGTCCGCTCATGGACTGCAGGACAGCTTTGTCCAGCCCCAGCTTGAGACTGGCTTTGTCAAACATCTCCCGCTCGTAGGAATTCCGAGTGATGAGGCGGTAAACTTTCACGGCCTTGCTCTGTCCAATGCGGTGGCAGCGAGCTTGTGCCTGAGGGGGAAGAGGGGAACAAACAGAGGCGTGAAGCCTACAAGCATCCTTCAGACCCAGAAGAGACACACAACAGTTGGGTCTCCAAAGCAGCTGAGGGCAGGACAAGAAGCAACGGATGGAAATTAATCCAGGAGAGAAGCAACCTAGAACTGAGGAGAATTTTCCTGACAGTTAGAACAATTAATCAGTGGAACAAGACAAAAAAAAGGATATGCTTAAAATCATGCACTGGTCTTCACAGAATAAAAGGAGTTGGAAGGGACCTTGGGGGTCTTCTAGTCCTACTCCCTGTTCAAGCAGAAGACCCTATACAAAGAGTTGTGGTGGCGCAGTGGTTAGAATCCAGCATTTGCAGGCTAACTCTGCTAACTGCCAGCAGTTCAATCTTGAACTGGAAACAACAACTGAATGAAAAACTGCTGACCTTCTACTGCTGTACCATAGAGAGTATTTTAACTTATTGCACCTGTGTATGGTTTGCCAATTGCACAGTGGCAGATAGGACAGTGCTCCAGAGGGTTAACATCATTTGCCCAGAGGATCATTGGTTGCCCTCTCCCCTCTTTGGAAGAGCTTTATAGCTCCTGCTGCCTTAAGAAAGTTCAAAACATTCTTAAAGATCCATCTCATCCTTTTTTTGAACTATTACCATCTGGCAGGTGGTACAAGATAATAAAAACAAGGAGAAATAGGCTGAAAAATAGCTTCTATCCCGGAGCAGTAACTACACTGAATTCTACTATATAGTGCAATATTAATGCAATATCAAGGGTTTTCAATTCAATTGTATAGAATGTATGTGTGTTTGTTTTATTTTTATAGTTATAATGTACACAGAAGATGGCATTTAATTTTGTTCTACGAGGTGCAATGACAATAAGTAAACTACACTAAAACTAAATTGATTGGCTCAAGTTTGACTCAGCCTTCTATCCTTCCAAGGTCAGTAAAATGAGGAGCCAGATTGTTGGGGGCAGTATGCTGACTCTGTAAACTGCTTAGAGAGGGCTGTAAAGCACTGTAAAGTGGTATATAATTCTAAGTGCTACTGCTATTTCAGACAAATGGTAAGACAAATGATAAGACAAATCTTAACAGATGTTTCAAGCCTCACGTTTCTAGCTACCGGTATCTGATTTGCCATCCACTCCAGAGACCCCCAAAGTACCTGCAAGTCGTTTTGAGGATTCCAGTCTGAGTCAAAAATTATGCAGGTATCAGCAGCTGTGAGGTTGATGCCGAGACCTCCCGCCCGGGTGCAGAGAAGGAACACAAAGCGATCCAAATCAGGCTTGCTAAAGCGGTCAATGGCGGCCTGACGCAGATTGCCACGCACCCGCCCATCAATACGCTCGTAGAGATACCTGCGCAGGAAAGACACAGAATTCTGTAAATCAGCTTGTAACACCAGTTATCAACATCTGAACCCATCTGTCTTCCCTGCAATCGCTCACAAACCTGCCTCTAGTTTGAATTTAAATTTAAAAAAGAAAAAAGAAAAACTTGGCTATCCCAAATTCTGAATGGATGTTGTAACAATGGATCATATAAAGAAAGTGCACAACACTTAACTTTGCCGGTTTAAATGTTGCCACCTCTACCTGAACACACTAAATATATATTGTATATGTATATGTGGTACCTCGCTCAACAGTAGTAACTGTGAGAGGGACCTTAGAGTCCTAGTGGACAATCATTTAAATATGAGTAAAAAAGCCAACACAGTTCTAGGCTGCATAAACAGAGGGATAGAATCAAGATTACGGGAAGTGTTAATACCACTTTATAATGCCTTGTTAAGGCCACACTTGGAATACTGCATCCAGTTTTGGTCCCCATGATGTAAACAAAATGTTGAGACTCTTGAGCGCAAAGAAGAGCAACAAAGATGCTGCCTTTGGAGCCAATTTCGAAGGCTGGGAGAGGATTAGAGAGGAGTGGGGCTCACTGGCTTTCAAATTGGTTCCCAGGCGGCCTGGGGCAGCATTCAAACAAGGAGAGTGGAGGAGGGGGAGGCTTATAATTAAAACAATAGCGCCTCACTCCGAAGCCTTCTCCCTCAAAGTTAGCCCACCGTCTCTCCGTCAGGAGTTCGGAGCTAAAACTCCGCCTCTAAAGTTAAAGGACGCTCTCCCTTGCCTCCCTCCCACTTCTATTTCAAACGCGGCTGGCAGAAGGCGCCTGCGCCCCTGTGGCTTCCTCGCTGCCTTTGGGGACAATTTCGAAGGCTGGGAGAGGACTAGAGGGGGGCGGGGCTCATTCGCTGCCAAATTGGTTCCCAGCCGGCCTGGGGCAGCAAACGAGGGGAGTAGAGGAGGGGGAGGCTTATAATCAAAACCATGATTATAAGCCTCCCCCTCCTCCACTCCCCTCGTTTGAAGCCTCCGAAGCAGTGATGAAATTTGACCACCTCGCACCAGGTGGTAGGGAGGGTTCGGTTCACCAAACTGAACGATCACCCCTGGATGGCCCTGCCCACGGCCGCCTGGTCGCACCCATGTTGGCAACAGGGGAGGTACTGGCGGCGGGAGAGAGAGAGAGAGAGAACAAAGCAAAAAGCCTTGCAAAGTTGACACCCCGACGTGCCAAAGGTCGCAATCCAGGAGAGAAAAGCCTCTTGCCGCCCTTTTCCCTGGCAGCCCTTGTCTAACCTGGGGATCTTCAGGATTTGGGGAGGGGGATGAGGGGTGCATGTGAAGGACTGCAACTTTTGATGAACTTTCCTCCAGGAGTTTCTCCCTTCCCTTCTGCAACTCCGCGGCATGAGTCGGCCACTTCTGCAAGTGCCGATGGAATCAATGAAGCTTGCCCCACGGGGCCAGTTCCTTATGAATTTCCCCCTCTCCTCTTCACTCCCCAGACGGCTGAGGATGCAAAGCAAGATTCTTAGCGAGGAGGATAATGCTGATTGTGAAATCATGAATGTTACTGCATCAATGAAATAAGGCTGTGGAATATTTGGTTTGGGGGAGGGGGCTGGACAGCATAGGTGACCAACATACAAATACTGGAGCATGTAACATCAGTCATGTCACTAGAAGGCAAAATTCACAAAACTGAGTCCCACGTATTTTGGCCATGTCATGCAGGGCAACTCATTGGAGAAAGTAATTACACTTGGAAAGGTTAGCAGTAAATCACCAAAGAACAGAACAGTTGGCTGACTCCAGCCAGAGAATAGAAAAACTCAAAGAAGCAGTCTGTTGAGATTCTGAGTCATCCTCGTCATGTTTGTCCCAAAGGTGCTTTTTCACCTTTGGGACAAACAAATGGACTTTGTTTTTTCTTTTGAAGAAGTTTCACTTCTCATCCAAGAGGGTTCTTCAGCTCTGACAGGATAGTGGGGAATGGAAGGATTTATACTCCTTGCAGACAGCTGGCCATTTGCATCCTTTTAGAGCAAGGGTCTTCAAACTTGGCAAGTTTAAGACTTGTGGACTTCAGCTCCCAGAATTCCTGAGCTAACATGACTGGAGGAGGAATTCTGGGAGTTGAAGTCCACAAGTCTTAAAGCTGTCAAGTTTGAAGACCCCTATTTTAGAGAGTTGTTGAAGCCCTTGAAGGTTTATCTGTGTCCTCAGGGTCACCTGAGTAGTGCTCCTGGTTCCTGTAGCATGCAATTTTTCCTCTGAAGAATGGATTTCCAGAGGAAAAATTGCAAGCTATAGGAACCAGGAGCAAATGACCAGCTGTCTGCAAGGTATATAAATCCTTCCATTCCCCACCATCCAGTCAGAGCTGAAGAAGCTTCTTGGATGAGAAGCGAAACGTCTTCAAAAGAAAAAAGAAAAAAACAAGAAAGTCAGTTGCCTCCTGAAAAAGCACCTTTGGGTCAAAGAAGCAGTGCAAGACCGGAAGATGTGGAGAGACCTGGCCCACCGAATTGCCCAGAGTTGGACACAACTGAACGGATGACATCATCATCATCGCCACACAAGCTGTCACCTCTTTTGGATGAGGTAGTCTTCCAGGATGTCGAGGCAACGGACCATCTGGGAAAAAATCAGCACCTTGTGTCCTCCGGCTTTCAGTTTAGGAAGCAGTTTATCCATCAGCACCAATTTCCCAGAGGAACGCACCATGGCCTGCAGGGGAAAGTCATGGGGCACGTGGTGGTGGCAGGAATCCCGAAACTCGGTCAAGATCTTCTCCTCGGCACCTAGTTTGGGAGGGAAGAAAAGAAACACAGATGAAGGAATTATCCACATTTCAGGGAGACTGGGAGGGGGACCAAGCTTGAGAAATCAGAACATACCAAGTCACTGCAAATGGCATTTTGATCAACTGATGTCCCTTTGCTTGTTGTTTCTACCTACTGGATTACCTAAACAAGACCAGGATCAAGATGGGGAGCCTCAGCCTCTACTTCTCAGAATATCAGCACTAGGGTTGGTCTACTCCATAGCTGAATACTGCGCCCCTGTTTGGCTTCATAGCTGCCACACTAGCAAGAGCAATGCTAGGCTGAATGATACAATGAGGATCATAAGCGGTTGCATAAAATCTACCCCTACTTGCTGGCTCCCCGTCTTGAGCCACATTGTACCACCAGCTCTATGAAGGCAGGAAGCCTTAGTGAAGGAGTACAAACAAAATTATGAGAAACCCACTTCTTCCTGTGCACGCTGATCTTTCTCATCTATCAACCAGCAGGCTTCAATCCAGGAAGCCCTCTCTGGCACTTGCTCAACAACTGTCTCACAACTTTGACATCAACACACAGGGGAAAGCCAATGGGCTGCTCAACACCAAGATGCAGGCGGTTTACATAGATGACCCTACACAAAAGGTGCCAGGTTTTGACCTTCCTCGCCAGCATTAGTCAACTCTGAACAGGATCCGTACCCAACATGGTGTCTGCCAGGACTCATTGTTTAAGTGGGGTCTTGTCTCTACCCCTCAGTGTGACTGTGGTGCTCCTCGACAACATATCCATCCCATTGTGTCCGAAAGTCCATCAAGAGCTTACACCAGCCCAATGTCTGATCAAGGTTCCGTCTTAGGCCCAGTACTCTTCAATATCTTCATTAACAACTTAGATGAGGGAATAGAAGGGGAACTTACCAAATCTGCAGATGATGCTAAGCTGGCAGGAATAGCTAATACCCAAGAAGATAGGCTCAAGATCCAGATGGATCTTGACAGACTAGAACACTGGGCCATATCTAACAAAATGAAATTCAATGTAGAGAGAAGTAAAGTCTTACACTTAGGCAAGAAAAACCATAAGCATATTTATAGACTGGGTGAAACCAGGCTCAAGAGCAGTAACTGTGAGAGGGATCTTGGAGTCTTAGTGGACAACCAGCTAAATATGAGCCAGCAGTGTGCAGCAGCAGCCAAAAAAGCTAATGCAGTCCTAAGTTGCATTAACAGAGGGATACAATCGACATCAAGTGAGGTACTAATACCACTCTATAAAGCCTTAGTAAGACCACACCTAGAATACTGCATCCACTTTTGGTCACCACACTATAAAAAAGATGTTGAGACTCTAGAAAAAGTACAGAGAAGAGCAACTAGGATGATTAGGGGACTGAAGACTAAAACATATGAAGAACAGTTACAGGAACTGGGCTTGGCTAGTCTAGTGAAAAGAAGGACCAGGGGAGACATGATAGCAGTCTTCCAATATTTGAGGGGCTGCCACAGAGAGGAAGGGGTCAAGCTATTTTCTACAGCTCCTGTAGGCCAGACAAGGAATAATGGATGGAAACTGAACAAGGAGAGATTTAACCTGGAAATAAGTAGAAACTTTCTCACAGTGAGAACAATCAACCAATGGAACAGCTTGCCCTCAGAAGTTGTGGGAGCGTCATCACTTGAGACTTTCAAGAAGAGATTGGAGTGCCATTTGTCAGAAATGGTGTAGGGTCTCCTGCTTGGGTGGGGGGTTGGACTAGATGACCTACAAGGTCCCTTCCAACTCTGATTATCTGTTATCTGTTATCTTTTTCAACATAGACCACCCTGACTTGGAATTGCTGGGTGGACTGGACATACGCTAAATAAATAAAACCAAAACAAGATACTTTCTGTGCCTAGGAAAATACTTCAGAGGACTTAGAAACTCCAAGCTAATCATATGTTTGAATTTACAGTTGGTCCCTGACTTATGACCTTAAGGGTTTCTACTATGTGTCATGACAGTCATAAGTCAAGGCAGCGACATGACCAATCTGAACTTTGAATCCAGGTCATAAGTACCTTTTTGGGGATCTGTCAAAAGTTTGAATGATTGCTAAATGATCAAGCATAAATTGATAATTACCTTTATTTTGCAAAGATCAGCTTTTCTTAGATCTAATTGAACACCTATTTCCCCCTGCACTGTCTTAAGGCCTAAAGACATTTACCCATGTAGTGGGCTGTAATGCTATTATTCTTCTCAACTTTCCTACTACTTTCTCCTATTGGTATCTAATGATTTATCACTTGTTTGTAATTTATGATTAATGATTTTAATTATGATTTATGACCTATCACTTTGTTGTTTGTATTTACACTGAGAGCTTATGCACCGGAGACAAATTCCTTGTGCGTCCAATTAAACTTGGCCAATAAAAAAATTCAATTCAATTCAATTCTGCATTCTCTCCTCTTCCATTCTCTCCTCTTCCATTCTCTTCTGCATTCTCTTCTCTTCTGCATTCTCTTCTGCATTCTCTTCTCTTCTGCATTGTATTCTGCATTGTATTGTATTCTAATCCTAATCCTATTCCATTCCATTCTATTATCTGTCCAAATCTCCATTCTAGGCAGCTCAATCCTTTCATTATCCACACCCAAAAAAAATCTTTCCATTCACTTCCTCACCCTTACCATTGATGAGGTAGGGGTGGTTGCAACACTTGCGTAGCTCCATCATGGTGTTGAGAAGGTTGGGCATGTTGCTGTGCCCCGCCCCCTTGGAGAGGAAGTTGAAGTTCTTCTCTAGGATGGCCCGGTAGTACTTTTTCTGGATGTTGGTCAGCTCCACCTCAATGATAGTTTCCTGTTTGGGGGCCAAATTCTTCTCAACATCCTCCTTCAGCCGCCGGAGCATCATGGGCTTCAAGATCGCCTGCAGTTTCTGCACCTGGAGGGTATGAGAGAGCAGTGGTTAGAACCTTCACTGTCTTGAGGTGGACCAAGCTAAGATTAAACTTTGTCAGCAGCGTTGTCTTCCTAAGACAGATGGATTGAGAAGGACGACCGTCTCTTGAAGATGGTTTACCTGCTTTTCATGCACACTGCAGAAGTTTGAGAATGCAGATAATGGGGAAAACAAGTCAGACAAGAAGCTAAAAGCAGCAGAAATGAGCGGTTGAGAAAGAGAAAAAAAGTGCCAACATCCAACAGCTACTTTTTTTTTACCTGCTCTTCAGTTTTGAGGTCCCCAAAGTCCTTAAGGAACTCCGATTCAGAGGGGAACTGGGAGGGTTCAAGGAAATGCAGGAGGCTGAACAGTTCTTCCACGGTGTTCTGGAGAGGGGTGCCCGTCAATAACACTTTGTGTTCCTATAAGGGAGGAAGATGGAAGAGACATCAAGACAGATGATGGCACCACAGTACCCTAGAAGAACAGAATATCAGAGCTGGAAGGAACCTTGGAGGTCTTCTAGTCTAGTCCAACCCTCGGCTCAAGCAGGAAACTCGATACCAGGGGTGTCGCACTCAATTTCATTGAGGGCCGCATATGGGTTGTGTTTGATCTTGGAGGGCTGGGGGTGGGCGTGGCCATGGTGGGCATGACACAGGACTTGTGTCGAGGGCACCTGTGGCCAAGTGCTAATGCAGGACTTCCCTGAGATCCAATCTCAATCTCAATCTCAATCTCAATCTCCTCTCCTCTCCTCTCCTTTCCTTTCCTTCCCTCTTCATTCTCCTTTCTTCTGCCTTCCCATCTTTCCTTCTTTTAATTTCCTCTTTCCCTTTCTCCATTTTCGCTGGCAGAGGGCTGCAGGAGGCCATCGCAGCTGAAAATGGGGCATGGGGGGCGGGGGGGCACACCCCGAGCTCTATTTTCGCTGTCAGAGGCATCATGGGCCGGTCCTTTGCTGTTTCCAGGCCGGCCCCACGGGCCTGTCTAAGCACTCTGCGGGCCACATCTGACCCACAGTGACACCCCTGCCCTATACCATTTCAGACAAACAATTGTCCAATCTCTTCTTAAAAACCTCCAGTGATAGAGCGCAACTTTTTTTTATAACCTTTATTGAAAAATTAAAATATTAAAATACAAAATACAATACAAATATTTAAAGTGAGAGTGTTATGTATGTTACAATCCATTTTGACAGTGCTTACATTTCAATTATTATTCCAGTGCACATTTTATACTCCTATTTGTTCTTATATATATATGTCCGTATCTTTCTAAATTATACATTCCTTATTTATTTAATTGGTTATTTCTATTATTCATCCCAGTGGTCGCCAACTGGTGGGCCGCGGCCCACTGGTGGTCCATGAGAAAATTTTGGTGGTCCACAGAGAAATGTCCCCCCCAAGAGCAATTAATCCAGGCTGTGCGGGAACAGAAGGCTGCACCACCCACATGGGCTGCGGGAATACAAAGCTGCGTCGCCCACATGGCCCACCCAACACTGGCCTCCACCCTTTGCAAATCTTACCTTCAGTAGAGCCACGCAAGCTGGAACTAGAAAGTAAGATCAAAGGCGGGGGAGGGAAATCCACCCCGGGGTGGCTTGCTGATGTTGGTGGGAAAGTCGGTCCTATATTCCAAAGCTGCAGTAGTCAGGACTGGCCTTTCGATCACCCTGGAGCAGCTCTTCCCACCTGGGTGCACTGGCCTGCCATTGAGGAGCTGCTCTGCGATGACCAAAGGGCCAGTCCTGACTACTACAGCTCTGGAATATGGGACCAGCCCGTGGTGGGACTGGAAATCTCCATAGGGGGTGGCACATGCAATGTGTAAATTTGCAGGTGGTGCAATGCAAAGGAGTGGTGCAAAGGAGCGCAACCCTCGCTGCCCGGAACAAGTAATGGTGTTGTTGCTGGGGGGTAGGTGCAGTGCAAATGGGCTGAAGCAGCAGTGGCAAAGGCAGAATGCTAATGCCACGCAAATACGAGTAGCATTTCTTCTCCAATCTCCTTCACTCCCCTCGTTTGAAGCCTCCAAAGCAGTGGTGAAATTTGACCACCTTGCACCAGGTGGTAGGGAGGGCTTGGTTCACCAAACTGAACAATCACCCCTGGATGGCCCCGCCCACAGGCACCTGGTTGCACCCATGTCGGCAACAGGGGTGGTACCGGCAGCGGGAGGGAGAGAGAGAACAAAGCAAAAAGCCCTGCAAAGTTGACACCCCGACGTGCCAATGGTTGCAATCCAGGAGAGAAAAGCCTCTTGCCGCCCTTTTCCCTGGCAGCCCTTGTCTAACCTGGGGATCTTCAGGATTTGGGGAGGGGGATGAGGGGTGCGTGTGAAGGACTGCAACTTTTGATGAATTTTCCTCCAAGAGTTTCTCCCTTCCCTTCCACAACTCTGTGGCACGAGTTGGCCACTTCTGCAATTGCCGGCAGAATCAATGAAGCTCGCCCCACTGGGCCAGTTCCTTATGAATTTCCCGCTCTCCTCTTCACTCCCCAGATAGCCAAGGTGGCACTCAAAACAACCTGGAGCTTTTCCCGCCTTATTTTGCTCTTTCAGCTTACCTTCCGCAAAATCACGACGACCAACCATGTCAGATTCCCCCCCCCTTTCCCCCCCCCCCCCCCCCCCGGGGGACAAAGAGAGAGAGAGAGACAAGAGAGAAAAAGGGAGACAAGAAAGAGAGAGAGAGAAATGAGAGAGAGAGAACAACAAGGGCAAAGAAGTGATGTTGACTTGGCCATGCCCACCCACCCAGTTATATGACCACCAAGCCATTTTTATATTAAAAATTATATTAAAATATATATGAATATATATTCATATATATTTATATATTAAAATTAATTTTAATATTAAATTTATATTTAATATAAAAATTAAAATTTTTATATTAAGTATATTATCTTTTTTAAAAAATTCATATTAGTGGTCCTCGGGATTTAAAATTATGAGTTTGGTGGTCCCTGAGGTCCAAAAGGTTGGCAACCCCTGATATAGAGTACGATGGGTTATGTATAGTTCGGGACTTCAATGCGATTGTAGTTAGGAAAAGAGACCATAAACATAATGACACAAGAAAAAGAAAAAAAAGAATACTCCCCAAAACATTTTTTTGAAATGATTAGAGATTTAAACTTGATAGACCTTTGGAGAAAGGAATAATGAAGAGAATTATTACACATTTTATTCAAATCGCCACAAAACCTGGTCTAGGATTGATATGGTTTGGACATCCAAAGATTTAGATTCCGAAATACATAAAGTGACTATAGAGACTAACACCTGGGCCGATCACAACCCCATAAGTTTTAAGTGGAAAGGACATAAAGTTACACCAAGATGGACTTTTCAAAGGGCAATTCTCAAAGAAAATGAATTCAATATAATGATAGAAAAAGAATTGGACACCTTTTTTAAAATAAATAAACAAGATATTTCAATCCAAACTCTCTGGGACACTGCCAAAGCATACATACGTGGTGTAACAATTTCATATATAGCCAAAAGAAATAAGGCAAAAAAAAAACAACTTAGAGAAAAATTGGAACAAGAGCTTAAGCAAATGGAGGCGTTGCACCAGAAAGAACCTAATAATCAAAACTTGAAAAGCGAATCAGATCTTCTTAAACATAAACAACATACTTTGGAGACAAAGAAAATAGCACAACAAATTAAACTAACTAAACAAAATTATTTTGAAAATGCCAATAAACCTGGATGGTGGCTGGCACAAAAATTAAGAAATTACAGAGAAAAACAACGAATAAACAAATTACAAGATGAAGAAGGGATCATACACTACGACAAGAACTCTAAAAAAGACACTGCCCGGAGATTTTATGCAAAATTATATACAAGAAATGAAAATTACTCAGAAGAAAAGATTAGAAACTACCTGTTCTGACTCAAACCCTTGTCCAATAAAACAAACATGAACCAAAGGGAACAGAAACCTTTTGATGATTCTTACGAATCCCCAGTTAAAAGGCTGCTGCAAACTAATTAACTTTGATAAGCATGAGCCTCGCCAAAACTGTGCAAGGCTGCCAAAAATAACAGATAAGGTAACCTAGAAATATTTTACAACACAAGAGTCTTCAAATACCAACTAAGATACTGCAATGTCCACGAGGCTCAGGTTTCAAAACATCTTTGCTTCCTGCAAAGAACGTCCGATTCACAGCTGGCTTTTATCTTCTTGAAGAAGGGGCCATTACCTTGCAGTCTTACTCCCGAGTCACCCATGCTGCTGCAGCTTCTCTTTCCTGCGAGCAGCCTTGCGTGCACGCGCACTTGGCACAGGCTCCTCGGGAACCTCCTCATCGCTGCTGCCAGCCCCCACAATCTCTGAAGGCAGCAGTCCACTCCCTAATGATCCTGGCCCCTCATCTGAGTCCTCGCTCTCCTCAGCCGTCCGCACCTGCTGCCGGCTAACCACAACACTACCCAAGGAAAGCTGATTTACCAAAGATTCCAGAAGATATGAAATTAATGCTCAATGAAGTAATTACCAGGACAGAAATAGCTAAAGCAATCAACAAACAAAAAGACAACAAAGCATCTGGCCCAGATGCTATACCCGCTATACCTATACAAAGAACATCAGAATACCGTGAACCAATACTTATTAGAGGTCTTCAATGCTGTGCTTGATGACGGGAAAATACCAAAAACTTGGAGAGAGGCCAATATAGTGTAGATGAAAAAAGAAGGTACAGACCAGACAAGAATCCAAAATTATAGGCCAATAACTCTTTTAAATACAGATTACAAAATATTTACCACGATCATTGCTGAAAGATTTAAAAATTATTTAAATGGATTCATACATAGTGATCAAAATGGCTTCCTCCCAAATAGACAAACAAAATTTAATCTGAGAATATATTAGACACTCTTGAATTTTACGAAGAACACAATGATTGACAGGCAGCCTTTTTATTTCTAGATGCCCAGAAAGCCTGACAATGTAAATTGGTCTTTTCTAATGCAACAGTTAAAACACATGAATGTTGGTGAAAAGTTCTTAAAGATAATTATGGCAATATATACGCTATACGCAATAAGTACGGTTTATATACAAAAAGGCACAAGACAAGGCTGCCCCCTATCTCCGCTATTATTTATATATACACTAGAGGTCCTAACAGGAATAATCAGACAAGAAACACAGATTAAAGGATTGGAAATCAAAAAAGAAAATTTTAAATTACAAGCATATGCTGATGATTTAGTATTTTGGGGGGAAGACCCTGAACAAACAGGCCCGATATTATTAGAAAAACTTGAAGACTATGGAGAAGTAGCTGGTTTGAAAATAAATAAAGAAAAAATGAAAATTATAACCAAGAATATGACCAACACACAAAGAGAAAATCTTGTTAAATTATTAGATATTCAAATA